AAAAAAAAAAAAACCGAGATGGTGCTGTGCAAATGCCACGTGGGCAAAACTCGGTTGCCTCAGCAAAAAGAGGCTGCGAAGGGATGGATAGAATTGTCCTGAGTGAGTCATCGCCAAGAAGATGCTGTGACCTTAGGGCCTCTTTCGACACCACTTGAAAATACTTGGGTTTCAAGGGCACCCTAACTCATGGAAGGTGATTAATTTCCCCTAACTTGTTTTTTCATTCCACAACCCCTTTACGAAACCCTTGAGACGGCCGTCCTTGAAACTGAAGTGCTGACGGCATTGCACCAGGAACGGTGGTGATTTGTGGGAAAAACAAGAAAAAAGAAAAAGGTCCGTATAGTACCCTTTTTGAAGGGTCCAGCCCTTGTGCCCCAAGTGACCTCCTGAGGCACCCTTGGGATTTTCGTCCATCTGCCTGGGCCCCACTTCCTTCCATTTCAAGGGCGGACACTTGGCCGCGGGGATGTGGAAACAATTAGCCACTTCCAGGGTGTGTCATTAGGGCGGGTTGCAACTACCCTTCCTTGAAAAACAGCAATTGTTTCCACATCCCCGCGGGCAAGTGGTGTGGAACGAGGCCCTTAGACAAGCAGTACTGTTGCACATTCTTTCTTTTCTTGGAGGGAAAACTGCCGTCTTCACCCGAATAGAACGCCCGGTCATTATTGCTGCATCTGGACTGAAAGTTAAGCCAAATGGAGCTATAATGAGCGGGCGTTCTATTGGGGTGAAGGCCGTAGGGTGCAGTGAAGGTTTTCAGTTTTAAATGCGTTTCAATCACTGTTTCTCGAATGAATGCGAATTCTACTCCAAAGCAAGGAAAACCGTGAGTGTATCCAACCCAGCTGTAAGGCTGGGTGGGGATGTGCTGTGTTCAATGGATGCTTGAAGTGGATTTAGAACTGAAAACATGGCTGAGCTGTAGTTACCACTTGTCTTGGATTTTTTTTTTTTTTTTTTTTTTTGTGTTATATACAAGGAAAGAGAGCACTTGTCTTGGAAGTTCATTTGCCCTCCATCTGGATTCTATCTCAGGTTTATACTTCAACTGTTACAGTTCATAATTGTACCAACTGAGCTCTTTTGCCCTTTTTCAGAGGAAAAAAGAGCTCAGGTGGTAAAGCTATGAGCTGTGCGATTATCATCTGGATGAACAACGAATAAAATACTTCAAAGAAAAGAAAGAATGCGCTACAGTTCGTCTGAGCTAAGGTGGCAGTTTCTTCTTGGCCATGACTCAGGAGAGTTGTGTCCATCAGGGACTTAAAATGTTTTTCGTTTTTTATCTTTTCCCGTTTTGCAGAATCAAATCTGAGCCACGATCAGGGGCACATTAGTGAAAGACGAAAAAAGAATTTGAGAGAAGAACATACTGTAGTTTTATAAAGATTTAAAAAAAAAAAAAAAAAAAAAAAGAGAGATCGCCGAGATGGCCATGACTGAGGACAGTTGTGTCCATCAGGGACTTCATTTTTTTTCCTTTTGTATCTTTGCCCGTTTTGCAGAATCAAATCTGAGCCACGATCAGGGGCACATTTGAGATCGCCGAGATGGCCACTGGGGATGCGAAGATAAGGTCGTACAGTCAAATTGTGCCCATTTTGAGTTTTCTGCTGTTTCCATCCGACGTCAGCAATCCAACTTGTCCTCGTCACGACGGTCTCATTAGCTGAAGACCCGCCAAACGTATGCACCGCAGCGCCTTCTGAAGACCCGCCAAACAGGCACTTCTTTCTCCACGGTCCCCCCCCCCTTTTTTTTCTGAGCTTCAACTTTGGATTTTGAGAAGTAGTCTTGGTCTTGGAACGCTGGACCCGGTGTCCAGCATGGTGACTGCACTGACTGGTTACTTCCGGGTTGAATTGTGAGGACCCCAGCCTCGTCCATGGGCTTTTGGAATATAAAGTGACTACTTCATTAAAAAAAAAAAAAAAAGTTGGGTAAGCCCTTTTTTTTTTTCTTTTTTTTTTCCCTCAAGTTGGG